ATAATATAATATAATATAATATAATATAATATAATATAATATAATATGATATAACATTTACATTCAGCTACCAAATAGTCAGAACTGATCTATGCAATTAAGTAAGAAGAATTCATGGAAAAAACAGTAACTTTAAAAACATGATTTCCAGGGAAGTAGTAATTTTGGTTTATTATATAATGGTGCACATTATAAAATACTTTTACTTTTACATTCAAATGATATTTCTAATCTAATTGTGACATGCCAATTCAAAAGATATCTTGAAAATAAATGTAATAATTCTGTGATTCTTCTCAAGCAAGCATTTACAAAGAGCAGGTTTCTAATTTTAATGCTATATAAGTGTAAATAACATACTCTCCAGATCCATTATTATTCCTTTTTCAGTTTTGAATAAATCAAAATCTATGATGCAATTGTTCCTTTCTTAAAATAGTCATTCTAGGGCAGGCACTTGAAGGGAATTTCTTTACATCATACAATGAGATCATCATGTATACGCTGGTGTTTATACACAGCAAGAAAATTATATTATGACCAATAAATGCTTTTTTATAGTACAGGATGGAAATAACAATATATTAAATCTGTGATGATTCATAGTGTTTTATGTATCTTGTGGACTGGCTTTAATCAATACACCATTATTCTTAATTTTATTGATTTCAAATTGCCTTTCCCTACTCCTAATGGCTCATGGCCAATCCTTTGGCAATATCCTTAAGAATGAGCAACCCATCTTTTATGGTTTTGTACTTGCTTGTACAGATTTATTTTTTTCTTTTTGTTCCCCTTGGCTCTTTCCATGCTGCACACAATGATTTTGCTACTGTCTTCTTTAAAGAATTACTGTTTCTGTGACTAATCTTAGAAAATTGTAGACCTAGTTTTATGAGATTCTGAAGACCCATCCTTTGGGGCAAATCCTCTACTTGATTGCTGAACAAAAACTCAGGAAAATCCTTCTTCCTTGAAAATGTATGTCTTCCACAACTATACTGTATTCTTGAATGTGAACTCCCTCCAAATATAAAGGCTAACATCATGTTCAGAAACCTGCCATTCACATAGACAAGATATTAAAGTAAGTTCTTTTGGGGGCTTTTATTACATGTATTAGCTACATGAATGACTGTGATGCCATAGATTTGTAGGCCGTTAAAGTTAAAATTGCCATAAACTCAAATGGAATATTAATGGGTACTTCAACAAAACCTAATACACAGTCAGTATTTTAAATACTTTCTGCTGTCTAAAGAATTCTACAATCTTAGAACTAGCTTGCTATAGCGATATGCAATTAATTCATATGCTGACATGCTTGAATAAATATGATTACCCATTTCAATCTAACACTGCTTACAAATAAGCCCTAATTTCTTTTATTTATTTATTGAATTTATTGGCTTACCATTTTACCACAGGGTAACATACTAAAAAGATGATTAAAACTATACAACATCTATAAACAATACAAATAAAATACTGTAAAAATACAAATACTCCACCCTAACTAAAAGATGAGAAGGGAGACATTAGGATGAGCAAGAGGAGGGGGAGGGGGAATCTGACAGATTCACAAAATATCTGTGCCTGAATCACACTCCATCAATACTGTCTTGTTTCTAGTTTGCCCAAATTTATCTACTGGCATTTAGCATAGTTATTCCAGGCAGAGAAAGAAGGAAAGGACAAAAATACTGAAAGAAAGCCTAATTAGGTTTGAATGAAAATGCACGAGTCTTGTAAGGGCTGAAAGAAAAAGCAAAGCTGCTGACACAGATTTTTTCCAGGTTACTCTAAGGCAAACTAATTCCTAAGCTGCGGGAAACTATATGGGTCAGGGTTTTTTGAAACAAGCTAATGCAGCAAAGAAGGGAGTAAAGTGTTTTCTATGTGACTTTGGTGGATAGACATGAATTAGTCCTATAAACTTGGAGGCAATCAGAAACTGTAGAACTGGACAGGGTGCTTCTACTCACTGCTTTCACTCCCCCAAGTCCATAAAAGCAGTCTGAAAATATCTTCAGTCAACTTAGAAACCTTGAATACAAGAACCAAAAGCATGCCTTTCTCCTGAGCTAACACAAGTCCTGTGTAGAACAGCAATAACACACACAAATCACATCCCTGTGCCATATTAAGAGGAAGGAAAATATATTATTACTCTTCCTCCCACAGCCTATATATCATGTTGAGTTCATTTGTCTGGTTATCTGCAAAAATTCATAACCTTATAAGGTTGGGGTTAAAAAAATAAACAAGGGACCTTGAAAAATCACTAAGACGTCTGCAGCTGAGGAGAGACAAAAGAAAATGGCCCAGCCAGAAACTCCAGAGAAGTCATAGCACTTCAGAAAACAAACTAGCTCCACAGTGATTTGAAATATATTAATCCTAAACCAGGAATAAATCATCCCAGTTGCCTAGCAGGAGAAATAGGAACAGGGGAGTGTGGAGCCAATCCTGGAGCTGGTTCTAGTTCAATAATATGTAATAAAGAGGGAGGAAATCAAGGTGAAATCTATATTTTGCCTTCTTTCTATGGTGCTTAAGGTAAAAGTAAAGTTTTTCCTGTCAAGTCGTGTACAACTCTAGGGGGCAATGTTCATCTCCATTTCTTAGCTGATGGGGCCAGCATTGTCTGAAGACAATTTCCATGGTCATGTGGCCAGCATGGCTACAAGCCAAAGGCACATGGGACGTTGTAACCTTCCCACTGAGGTGGTAGCTATTCATCTACTTGCATTTGCATGCTTTCAAACTGCTAGGTGGGCGGGAGCTGAGGCAAGGAACTGGAGCCGAAGCTCAAACCCAGGCTGTCAGCTTTCCAGCTGATAAGCTCAGTGTCTTTAACCACTGAGCCATCGTGCCCCTGTCCATGGTGCTTAGAATTATTGAAATGGGTATGTCATATCTTAATTGAAACTGAAACCAGTGCTCTTAACCTATAGTTCTCTTTATTTTATAAATTGGCTAACCAAGTGCTAACATTTTGGGTAGCAAAATAGCCTTATATAGTGCTAACATTTTGGGTAGCAAAATAGCCTTATATTTCTCAGTAAAGTAAAAAAAATGTTAATGAATGCAAATCACTCTGTGTCTCCCTCCACATTAGATGTGCACACATGCGTGCACGCACACACACGCACACACACGCTGTGTGTGTGCACATGTGCTTGTATCTACTGGATTCAATGCATTCTTGTTATTTCCTGAATATTTAACTGCAGAAAAAAGGCCATTTTTATCTGTAAAAATGGTTCATACAGTGGAATTTTTTTTAAAAAAGTTGCAATTCTAAACATGCAAATAAGGAAATAATCCCAAGCAACTTTTCCTCCCTCCTTCACATCATCAACTGCAATATGACCTCAACCGTAGCTTCAGAAATGTGCTTGATCAGCATGGCAGCATGTCCTGAAACAAATCTGCCAAAGAAGATCATACACAGGCCTGCTCAGCCTTGCTGATTTATCTGTTATTAATTTTACTGCATAAGCCCTAATCCACAGCAGTTCTTTTTCATCAATCACTAGAATGTCAAAGAGGTGGAATTTCTGCTCCCTTATTAATTCAGGGTGCACCCTAGAGAGATCAGTATTGTTATTAAACACACAGGAAATGCTACTCCAAACTGCCACACCTTCCCTCAATTCTATAGGAATAAAATATGAACTGTATGTGAAAATATTATGTCAAAGAAGGCAAAAGGGTTAGATGAACGGATTACTATTATTCATTGGTTCAGCTTGAAATGGCACGCATGCTTTTGCAAGGGTAAGCCAGCTTGAACCCAGTGGGACTTATTTCTGAGTAAATAGGAAAATTAGGCACTTAGGCTTTTAGTAACACATGACTTGGCACCTGATAACTTCATAGGATTAAAACCAAACAAGGATGGTATTATTTCAGATTATTGAAAGAGATGCATCTCTCCATGCCTTGTACCAGTAATTCACATTTTATTTCTTGGCAAGGCAGGAAAAAGCAAATCTTATCTATGTGCCAACTTGCTAACAAATATTAACGTGTGCTAAGAGCTAACAAGCTCACACAATATTTTGAATCCATATAGCCGTGCAGAGATTAGCCCAAGCTGTCATCAGATATCCCCAGAGTCTGTGCATAACTGCTATGTGGCTTGATGCTATGGGTGCAATGTACCCAAGATCCAAATAAATTCTGATACAAATATTAACTCAGAGGATAAAAGCAAGGAGGTCTGGCATAAGGGAGACAGAAGACTGTGTAGCCCCAAAGTAATTATGATGCCTGGAAGGTAGGTTTATTCTGGTCAGATGTGGGGGTTTAAGTTTACTTTTTCCTATCTTCTTATATAATTTCCTGTATAGCAAATTCCAAAACTGTTCTGAATAACTGAAGCCTTTCAGACTGGTGCAAATAAATGAAAAGCTAATCATTAGGAGAAGCTGGATCATTATAGAGTCTGCTTAAGTTCAGAGAAGTAATTGAAGTGAGAAACTTGTATCTTTAAATTGAATTTGGTCTTCGTAGTTCATAACTGTGAAGCATTCTCAAGCAGGTTTTAATGGTTCCATATGGGCCAGGTTCTGTGGCCACTTTAAAGGCAATGAGATGCTCTCTTTTTTGATGGAATCCACAGCAAAAACAAAATCCATAACATACATACATACATACATACATACATACATACATACATACATACATTATCTATCTATCTATCTATCTATCTATCTATCTATCTATCTATCTATCTATCTATCTATCTATCTACCATCTATCTATTTTCAAATTTTGTAGCTGCCCATCTCACAAAACTACAAAGCTAAAAAGATTAATAAATACAAAAAAT